GGTGACGGGTGGGCTTAGAGGTGGGTGACGCACCGCGGGCTCCACCAAGGTCGGTGTGGCCCTACGGCCCTGGTTGGTGATCTGAAAAGGCCCCTGGGTTAGCCACCTGCCCGCCCGCCCACCTGCCCTCCTCTCACGGGGGCTTTTGGTGAGTGGGGCTGGCAGTCGTGGCCACAGGAAGCTGCTCCCTAGCCCAGCTCTGACCGGCCTGAAGGCATGCAGGGAGTCTGGGATCCCTAGAGCAGCCTTCTGCCTCTGTTTATGTTAGCTGCAGGACAGTATTATGTAACCATTTTTAATCTTAATTGTTTGGTATTATGTAACAAATAGTAACTGTACCCAGATAAACCCGTGACTGCAGTTCTTGGGTAAATACCATCCAGCATCTCTTAGCTAAGAGGTGGGTACGGGGTGTGGGAACCAGCTTGGGAATTACACAGGTATGGGCACTGTGGGTAAATGGACTTTTTCTCTATTAAAAACTGGATACCAAGTTTCACGGCCTTGACTTCTGTCAAACCTTGATGACATCTAGTCTGGTATAAGCCCTTGACTAAACATATCTTGCCACATTGCATCTTCCTTCACCAGAACCTCCCAGTTCATCAAAGGAACATATCAGGCTATTGATGTGAAAGACAAGACTGTTAGGGATCAGTTTCACGTTCTTGATGGAGTCAGACAAATTACTCTGTACACACACGTGGGACTTCCTTTCCCTCTCCCATCAGAACAACAGTTAGATCACCTGTTTTACAAGTTGATTGTTCCTTTGATCATCTGCCATTTGTCCACTGATGGCAGGACTCCCTGCCAGCATGTTGATATGACGACATCGTTTATGGAGCCCTTGCACAGGCAGCTATTGTCTGAGGAGGCCACAGTCTGTACTCCCGGTCAGTCTTATTCCCGGCCCATGAAGAAAAGGCTGTGGGACCTTTCCTCTTTGTGCTCTTTATATAAAAGACAGTGAGAGGACAGCAGGAATTTTGAGGTATTGAGGCACTGGATGTACTGAGTGAGGTTCAAGGGTCCCGTTAGAGATAATCATGGGTGTCCTAGTCATTTGGTGCTGCTATCACAGAAATACTACAGGTGGATGACTTTAACAAAGAGAAGTTTATTCTCTCACAGTCCAGTAAGCTACAAGTCCAAATTCAGGGCACCAGCTCCAGGGGAAGGCTTTCTCTGTCTGCTCTGGAGGAAGGTGCTTGTCATCAATCTTCCCTTGGTCTGGGAGCATCTCAGTGCAGGAACCCCAGGTCCCAAGGACGCGCTCTGCTCCCGGCACTGCTTTCTTGGTGCTATGAGGTCCCCATGTGTCTCTGCTTACTTCTCTCTTTTATGTCTCAAAAGAGATTGGCTTAAGACACTATCTAATCTTATAGATCTCATCAATGTAACTGCTTCTAATCCATCTTATTACATCATAATGATAGGATTTACAACACATAGGAAAATCACATCAGATGACAAAATGGTAGACAATAGACAGTACTGGGAGTCATGGCCTAGCCAAATTGATACACATTTTTGAGGGACACAATTCAGTCCACGACAATGGGTATCAGGCATTGCAAGGGTCCCGTTAGGGGTGACTGTGGGTGTCGGGCACCCCGGAAGACCCTGTTACGGTGATCATGGGTGTCATATACTGTGGAGGGTCACGTTACAGCGACCGTGGGTGTGTGGCACTGCGGAGCGTCCCATTAAAGGTGACCATGGGTGTCGGGCACCTGTAGGATCCCATTATGGCAACTGTGGATGTCGGTTATTATGGAGGGTCCCATTAGGAGTGACCATGAGTATTGGGCACCACGCAGGTCCTGTTAGGGGTGACTGTGGGTACTGAGCGTTGCAGAGTGTCCCATTACAGGTCATCGTGGGTGTTGGGCACCTAGAGGGTCCCATTACGGTGACCGTGGGTGTTGGGCACCGGGAAGGTCCCATTAGAGTGGAACTTGGAGGTCCGGCACCACCATTAGGTTAGTGTATGCCCTTGTTTCTTTTATGGGCATTGTTTGCTGGGGTGTCTCTGCCGGTGGTTGAAGCAGTTCTTTCATCAGGGACCCACACCTTCAGTGTGGCAGGGATTGCAGACAGGGATGGGGGCGTATTCTGCTGTTCCTCTCCTTGTCCATCCCTTCAGAGAAGAAACGTGGTAAAGACTCCTAGAAGAAGCCTTATTTAAGATTGGGGGTGCTAGACAGCTGTACGCTAAAGTGCGCTGTGCGTTTTGTGAGGTGAGTTGTCAGTATGCAGGCCAGGTGTCAGGTGTGAGGTGGGCTGAGGACTGTGCTACTTGCCTCTGTTTCTGAGCCAGTGAGGCAGGGATGATGATGTTTAGGATTGAGAATGAGATGTACAGCTGCCGAAGAAAGCGGTAAGACTAGCAGTAGCTTCATTGCCAGTTTGTAAGGTGTTTGCGTTAATTTCCTAGGGCTGCTGTAACAAAAGACCACAAACGGGCTGTCTTATAAGCCCAGAAGTTTATTGTCTGACAGGAGGCTGGGCATCCAAATCAGCCGGGCCATGCTCCCTGTCAGGTCTCTAGGGGAAGATCCTTTCTCATCTCCTCCAGCTCCTGGTGGTCCTGGGCTCTGCTCGGCATGTGGATACCTTCTCACGTGGTTGTCCCTCCTCTCTGTGTCTCTTTTTTTTATAAGGGCAGCAGTCACACTGAACCCTACTCCATTATGACTTGATGTTAACCAGTTGCATCTTCAAAGACCCTATTTCCCAGCCAGGTCACGTTCACAGAAATGGAGGTTAGGACTTCAGTGTATCTTTTTGGGGGGACACAGTTCAATTCATAACGATGTTAGTGAAGTTTCACAATGATAGGGTAAGAATTCGAGTTATTTTTAGCATCTCCTAAGGATTTCCATCATCCCTTGATCCTGGAGCCATTATTTAATTCCCAGTCCATACAGGGTTTCTGACCTTTGGGAGAACACTGTGTTTTTTGAGTACTGGAAGCTGGGTACCATTCAAGGCTACGGTCTGAATTCCCAGACACCGAACCTCTGTGATCCCACATAAGCCGAGCAGCTTTGGGTGTACTGGTGACTTAGGGAGAATGTCTTTTGTAATGCAGGTTAACTAGAACTATTTACCTCCCTTTCCCACTTGGGAGGCTAACCTCTGGCATTGCCCAGATGGAGGAATCTATAGGAAAAACCAGTGGTTTTCAAGGTGGGATCTCTGGACCAGCTAAATCAGAATCACTCAGCACTCAAATGCATGTTCCCAGGCCTTCTCAGTGCTGCTGAAACAGGTGCTCTGGGGTTGGGGCCCTGGAATCCACATCTGTGTGAAGCAGACTGGAGTTCCTGGATGGCGCACATGGTTAATGTGCTCGGCTGCTAACCGAAAGGTTGGAGGTTGGAGTCTACCCAGAGGTACCTGGGAATAAAGTCCTGGTGATCTGTTTCTGAAAGGTTCACGGCCTTTGAAAACCCTATGGAGCACAGTTCTACTCTGAAGCAGGTGGGGTCACCATGAATCAGAGTGGACTCGATAGAAACTGGTTATGAAGCAGACCAGGTGATTCTTAAGTGCACAATGCTTGAGAACTGCTGCTTTGTTTAGAAGTAATAGCAGCTGTGGGGCTGGGTTCTGGACCTTTAACTACTCGGGCTTCTGGCGATTAGATCAGACACTTGGCAGCTCTTGTCTGCTGGAGTTATTGCCTAACTGGAGGGTCAGCGGGGTGGGGTTAAGGCATGCTGAACCCTGTGGACCCTGGGAGGTCTGGGAGGATGTGTGAAAAGAGACCTTTGTCTCAGTGTTCTTGTTTCTGTCTTTTCCATCAGACTTAAAAAGAGAAGTTGGCACTGTCGCCAGGGTGTTGGCAGCTCCATCCAGTGCAGGGCACTGCGAGGCAAGGCTGGCCATTGGCATGATCATATGTCAGGTCTAAAATTGGTATGATGAACCAAATTTTCTCACATTTCATACAATTCACTAGTTGGAAGTAACCCAAGGAGTTCTAACCTATCCCAACTCTATCAGTACCCAAATCCTTTCCATAAAGGGTATTCTGACTTGCTCAAGAAAAGTATTCCTCCTTTCTTTCGCCACGTGGAGTGGACTTTGTTCCTGTCAAGGCTGATGTTAAATTAAAGGGGCAGGAAGATGCTTAGCACTGGCTGGAGCTGGGAGCCAGGAGAGATTTACTGGACCCATTTGCTTCTTCCCTTCCATTCTTTTTTCTGCCCCCTTGGGCAGGGAGTCCGGGACTGTCTTCTCCAAGAACATTCCTAGTCTGTGCGGTGTTTCCTGCAAGTATCTGGAGAGTCTCAGCTGAACTCCAGATGCCCAGGGCTCAAATCTAATATTAGGGAGGGCAGAAAATCCTAAAAGTGTAAGCGGTGCCTTTAAATCACCTACACATAATTTCTCTCCTTTTGTTTGCTGTGTCTGGGAGCCCCCTCAAAAGCGACAGTGTTGGTGGCTCGAGTCTGCTTATTTGCCTTTGTCACTGAGGGATGTGTTACTCTGAGTGCTAGTTGCTTAGTGCTCAAGTGGGATAAGAATTGCAAGGAGTGCAGAGGATGCCTTTGGACAAGGACCTGTACTGTCCTTCATTCAGTAGATGCTTAAGTAGCCAGGCTATCTCCCGAGTCTTCCTCACCCCACTTTGAATGAAAATAATAACGTAGGAATGGGTGATGAGTGGTGAGCAGAGGAATGGCATGAGTTGACCGACTCAACAATAAAAATTTTAATAATGTATTTTTCACTGTTTTTCCCCCTGCAGGGAGCTGGCAAATTTTAGTACTGATGCAAGTTAAATATTAAATATTAAAACAGTACTTCTCAAAATTTAATATGCACGTGGATTACCTGGGGATCTTGTTAAAATGCAGACTCTGATTCAGGAGGTCTGGGGTAGGGTGTGAGAGTCTGCATTTCTGACAAGCTTCCAGGGGATGCCCATGCTGCTGGTCCATGAACCACATTTTGAGGAGTGAGGTCTTAACACATTTCCTCCCATTTTATCCTTACTTTCTCTGAAAAGGACACTTCCCCCTGTAAGCTGTTACTATGAATGCGATTATTTAATACATGAATTTTGCCAAGAATTCTCCAGTGACTAGCCCTCCGTTGTTAGGCAGTGTAGCGCTGGCATTGTTAAATGGGTCCACACTTGATTTCATTTATGAATATTTGCTTGGGTTCAGGTGGATTGTATTCAGTGGTTTCACTTTTGTATATGACTATAGAAAACTTAGAAAGGTCTGAAAACCTTTTTAATCTTAAATGGGTTAGGAAGCCCTACCTGCCTTAATTTTAGGAATATATAATTTATGTCCTCACTGAGCTCGTAAGCTCTTTCATACCTCGCTTCTCTTGAGGTTCGGTTTACTTCTCATCACCACAGCCAAGAACCAGGAATTGAGTACCACTTCCACAGCTCCAAGATAGACAACAAAGATATCCCAGTCTCTACATCCTTCTCCTAGAAGATCCTCAGATCCTCTCCCAAGACTGATTCATTCTTTTGACACAGTTATAAACTTTTCAGGTATTGTTTTGTGAGTTCATAAGATTAGAAGTGGGAAACCGAAAGGAAATGACTGAAGACTCTCAGCTTCTACAAAGGAGGGGCCCTAAAACTGTAAGAAGGAGACAGGAGAATTCTGAGCCTAGTGCGGCCAGTTCTGCTCCGTACATGCCTGGGGCCCTGGTGATGCAGTGGTTAAGAGCTTGGCAGCTAACCAAAAGGTCGGCAGTTCAAATCTACCAGCTGCTCCTTGGAAACGCTGTGGGGGCAGTTCTATTCTGTCCAGCAGGGTCACTATCAGTTGGAATTGACTCGACAGCAGTGTATTTGGTTTTGGGGTTTTATACATTGCTAGTGGTGCAGTGGTTAAAGTGCTCAGCTGCTATCCAGAAGGTTGGCAGTTCAAACCCCACCAGCCACTCCGGGAGAAAGATGTGGTGTCTGCTCCAGTAAACATTTACAGCCTTGGAAACCCTTGGGGCAGTTCTCTGCCCTATAGGGTCACTGTGAGTCAAAATCGACTCGAGCGCAGTGGGTTGGGTTGGTGTATACAGCCCAAAGCAGAGCAGTGGTGGCTCCGCGGTAGGATTCTTGCCTTCCATGCTACAGTAGGAGTGGAGGCTTGTGTGTTGCTAGGATGCTGAACAGGTTTCAGCAGAGCTTCTAGACTAAGATGGACTAGGACAAAAGGCCTGGTGATCTGCTTCTGAAAATCAGCCAATGAAACCTTATAGATCAGAACATTCTGATCTGTAACCTATCATGAGGACTGCCCAGGACCAGTCAGTATTTCGTTCTGTTGTGCATGGGGTCACCGTGAGGTGGGCTGACTCGAGAGCAGCTAACAAAAAAAACAACTTTACTGATTACAGCCCACTATAAACATATGAGAAGTCTCTGGGTGGCGCAATTGGTTAAGCATTTGACTAGCAACGGAAAGGTTGGCGGTTTGAACCCACCCAGAGGTACCTCAGAGGAAAGACATGGCAATCTGCTTCTGAAAGGTCACAGCCATTCTATTCTGCACCAATGGGGTTGCCATGAGTTGGAGTCAGCTTAGCGGCATCTGGATAGATGTATGTATTGATGACCTTGGGATGTCATCTCTGTCTGCCGAATGTGTAACTTCACATGTTTTTTTTTTCCTCCCCCCATGGTGATTAAATTAAAGGATCAGCTTTTTGGTTAGCTGGGAAAGAGCCCATCTTTACTGGGCGGGGGGCGGTCCTAAGAGAATACTCCTTTTAGAGTGGTTGGGGTCTTTTTTGGGAAACTATAGGACAGTTCTACCTTGTCCTATAGGGTCGCTATGAGTCGGAATTGGCTCCATGGCTGTGGGTTTTTTGGGGCTCTTGTTTTTACCTCTGGACGCTACATTCTCTGAAGCCTGTGGAAACTTGTGGGCCGTAAGTTACAGGTACAATATTGCAGCTTGATTTCAGCACAGCCCTTTGCACTTAGGAGCAGATGGTTGTTTGAATTCTAAGGTGGAGACTGCTTTCAGGGGCTCAGCGCCATTGAAAGGACTGGTGGACTCCCTGAGCATGGCGGGCCTGTTTGACGAGAGTCAGCAGCACTGCACTCAGCCAGCCCTGAGAGAGCTGGCCCTCTGGTCTTTAGGGTAGCCTGATCGCACTTGCTGGAACCTGCTGGTAAGACTCTTGGCCCTCCAACAAGATAAGGCAGACCCAGTGTTTCCTGGGGACCTGCAGGTTGCCTGGTTGGGGCCCTTGCCCCCATCTTCTGCAAGCAGGAGCTCTATCCTACCTGGGAAGGTAGGACTAGGGTTTGCCTGTCATCCCCCCATCACGGGAGGTGCATTGAAGCTTACTTTTGTTTTACCCACATCTGTGTGTCTGTGTTCTCTGTGAAGGGATCCACCTCTGTGGTCACCTTTCCTTAGTTCCACCTTTTGAAAAAGTCTCCCACCAAATCTTTCTTGGATAATGGAGACACTACTAAATTTTTGTATTCCCACCTCTCCTAGTTGTTCAATAAATGAATTGATAAAGACCCCATGGGGCTGTTGTTTGCCATCTTTTATCAAGCATCTTTCTAGGCATGTTGCGATGTTGGACAATTTAATGTTTCCCAAATTGTGTTACTGCTACAGAAGTAAATATTCTGTGGCCAGATATGCTTGCAAATGCCTGGTTAGGTAAAGTTGGTTTCTTTATGGCAGAACTTTTCAGAAACTTTAGTGCACTGTGATGTACTGTGACGCTCCATGTGGAAGATGGGTTATGGTAGTTCCAAATTTCGGGGGCGTGGCATCCTACTGGTGCTGATTATCTCATGGGACTAGTCTTTCATAGACTCCTATCTCCTTACACCTGTTAGGAAGCCTACTTAGGTGTGATCATTAACAGGGTAAATTATATTTGGAGGAACCTTTTACAAAACACTGAAACCTGAAAAGGTTGTTATGGGGATTTTGGTACAGTAGTGCTGCTGTTGCTATGGTGGGATGATGGTGAGGTGCCTGTATTTTGCCAGATAACTCCAGAAGAACTGCCTGAACAAGATACTGTGCTGCTGCTGTTTTGGGAAAGGAGAAGTTGACCAGGTGGCAGCTAATTCCTTGCATTGTCTAGCACTGCGTTTATGTTTGATCCTGGGGACAACTCTGTAAGCTAATAAGATCAGGTAGTCTTCCTTCTGTAAATAAGCAAGTGGAGGCATCTCATAATCAAATGCCTTTTTTAAGGTGAAGTGGGCGTTAGTGGAAGAGTTAGAACTAGACTCTCAGGTCTATGGACCTCAAGTTCAGCATTCTTGTACCCTTGGGTGCTGCATGTAGGGAGGAAAGGAACAAGGGAGAGGGGATGTTGTTTCCAGTACACGCCCACCAACTTGAGTGAAAGTGGACTTGTGTAATAAGAGGAAGGACACAGGAAAGGCTCTCCTTGAGTCCAGAAACCCCTGGTTCTACCCTGTTCTCACATCTGTGAAGACACAGGAAGCCTCCTTCACTCATTTCCAAACTTGACATTGAGCTTCTCCTCTGATGCAAAGAAACCAACAAACAAGTGCCACAGTCACAGATTGAAAATTCCCGAAAGTCATCATAATGGCTTTCTCCGTTACCTTCTCTGTAAAATGGCGCTGTTGGTTGCTTGCTCGCAGCGTTTATAAGTATTAAAGAAAAATGTAAGTAAATCCTTTCACAGTGCCTGGCACACATAGATATTGAACAAACACTGAATTCCCTCCCCAGGGAGTTAGTTTGTCAGGAAAGATTCAGTATCCCTGATAGTCCTCAGACTACAGCACAGTCTGGAACCCCAGAACTACATGGTAGCTGGGAGGTGGAGAAACAGCGATACTGTGATTTTGTCCTGTACTGTAATGTCATATCAATAAACCTTTTATTCACCTTTGTGTCTAGACTCGATGGCCAGCTTGTAGTTTTGAGTGTTGAAGAATGGCCTTGGGTTTTGAGTGACCTTTTGCAAGCAGAGAGGGGACCCTGTATCCTGATTCTCATAGTTCTACCCTTTATTTATTTCTTGAAATGATGGAGACTGTCAGGGCAGGTGACAGTGGCGAGTGAGGGCCCCTGACTTGATCTACATCCCACCCACAATCCCACCGGGTCTTTCTTACTTCAGCCCCAGGCCAAGGGCACAAAGGGCCAGTCCAGGTAGGTTGATATTTCACAGCCCTCTCAGTGTCTCTCTTTTGGCTTCCCAAGGGTGAGAAATTTAAATTCAGTGCCCTGGTTTCTTTTCTCTACCCTTGAAATGTACTGACTTCTTATGAATAGAAATAATAGGCATTATAGAGGGCCTTACCCTGGTTAGGAATTACATGTTTTTAGGTCAGAAATAGGTTCTTTTTCCTCTGGTAGGAAACTCTGGTGTGTAGTGCTTAAGACCAAAAGGTCAGCAGTTTGAATCCACCAGGCGCTTTTTGGAAACCCTGTGGGGCACTTCTGCTCTGTCCTGTAGGGTCGCTATGAGTTGGAATCGACTCGACAGCAACGGGTTTGGTTTTTTTGTTTTTTTCTCCTGGTAGAGCATTGTGCTCAATCCTGGAGGGTCATCCGGAGAGCGAGGACACTCTCCGGAAGCTCCAAGGGGGCTTGAGGGACACGGTTGCTTTCTGCTGTCCCCACGACTCGTCCCTCACGGGCTGCTGGCTCTGCTGTCTTACCTCCAACGTTTTGTACAGAATGAAACAAATAGCTGAGATTTATACTAATAGAGAACATTTGCATTTTTGCCTCTGGGAAGATCCAGCCGCCTGTACTGATGTCTTGGTTTGGGTCTATGTTAGAGCACAGTGCGGGAGGGAGATGAGTGGGACGCTGGCCAGCTAGGAGTGACAGGAACCAGGGCAGGCTGTCCATCCCTGCTGTCCGTCCTGAGGGCTGTTCTCCACCTAGGGCTTGAAAACTGGAAATACTGGATAGATGACATTTTCCCTTCTGACTAGCCCCCTTTGTGTGGCAGGGGAAGAACATTCTAAGTGACTTGGAGCTCTGTGTGATACCAGAATCACCAAGCAGACAAAGCTTTGGAAAGCACCGCTGAGCCACTTGTCAAAGGTAGCGCCCCTCCAGGACTGCCCTGCAGAACCGGCCCCCGCAGAATGGAACATTGTGCTTGGCCCACACCGCCCGTCAGCTCTGGCTTAGCCAGTGACTTTATTTATGTGGCCATGTCTCAGATGAAAAGTTTGGAAACAATACCTTTTTTTGTTGGTTTTAAATTGTGATACAAATAATTATAACAAAACATTAGCCATTTCAACATGTTTTACATGTATAGTTCAGAGACATTAATTCCATGTTGTGTTAGCCATCACCACTGTTCCCACATTTTTCCATCACCCTTAGCAGAAACTCAGTGCCCCTTAAGCAACTACTCTACCTCAGTATCTGTTAAGAAAAACCTTTTGAACCAAGAGGTCTCCAAGGGTCTTATTTACGTATGAACAGCCCCCAGAAGGAGGTTTAGCTTCTCTCTGACTGTCCCACAGCCCTGGGTGCTGGGTGAGGTCCCAATGCCCCAGGGGAG